AATCAAATACATAGACTGACCTTCAAATGTATCCTCAACCAAAGAAAGTCGCTCCTTCCAAGCCTCGCTATCAGAAGCGTACCCATTTGCCTCCTTCTCAGTGAGTGCATCATCCATTAGCTTCTGTTTTGCACCTTCCCCACTTCCTTTGCGGTAGTCTCGCGCCTCGCAAAAACTTCTCTCAAGTTCTCGGATCTAACAAAAACAAGAATCAACATATGTATACATACGCTCAAGCAGTAGATCAACATACTTGTTGTTTGACTGAGGTAGATTTTATATTCGGAAAGCCATTCTCAGCTAGGTAATCAGAGACATCCTGAGCTACTTTGGCCTTATTCATCGTTCCTCCATCAGTTCTCCACCAATCCAGACAAAAACCATCTCCTTCGGGAGTTGATAGCCATTCCACTAAGAGCCATAAAGGGGTCTTTCCATCTTTGTTGACGTCTACACGCCACTGGGTTCGAGGACGGGCAGGCGACGATGGCTGCTTGGGCTTGGGATCACCCTTCTTTCGGTTTTTTTTCTTCGGATCCGGATTGTTTTGAGTTAGTTGAGGGTGTTGAGTTCCTTGAAAAGACAAAGTTTGAATTGCTGGTTGGTAAGGTGTTGCAGGCATGCTTCCCCAAATATGAGCGTTGATACTTGGCGAGATATGAGGATTGAGAACTGGTGAGATGTGTTGGTTGATGGTTGGTGAGACCAAGGTATAAGGATAGGGAGCAATCGATGGGACTTGTCCGGCAATTGACGAGTCTGATGGAGTTTGAGAAAGATGGTGGGAAGAGGGTAGATTAGCCATTTGAATTGAGTGGATGAGGGGGTGTTAGGTGGAGACGGGCTGCCTGTTGCATAGGGACATACAAAGTTTTCAGATTGAATTTGGGTCCATTTGGAACTATAATTTCCCAAGTTTGAACTTGGGGTGTCCCAGAAGTTCCTGGATGTCACTTCTGGGAACTTCTGGGACGAGTTTCTGGAGTTTTGAATACCCCTAGTGTTACCCTTAGCTTGAAGCCAGTCATCAGGTTTGCCCATAATGTTGCTTCCTGGTGTGGGCAAATCACAGCCAATAACATTGCACATGTTGTTGATTTGTCCACACTTTCGAGGATCTGTGCATATACTAGTGTTCCAATTCCCACCAATTTGCATGTTTATTGGTGTACCTTTCAGTTTACAACTGCACAGAAAAGGCTTGATGCAAACCTGTGTTGTGATCCCTATAACGGGTTTATGCTTGTACTGAGTAGATGGCCATCGACTCTCTTAATCCCTGCGCGCCAGTTGTACTCACTCATGGTTCAATCTTAAAGGGAGTACCATTGTCCATGCCTGCACTAAGGCCAGCCGCACTCCTTGGCGCGAAATGACTCAGCCTCTCCCCGGCTACCCAGCTAACCGCAAGCGGTACCAATCAACCATGTGATTAGCTGTGCAGGTCAGCAGTTGACCGGCCCAGAGGTCAACAGGACAGAGGAGCGGTCGACCCATGTTCAGATATAGCAAGAGTGGGATCGACGTTTCTCCCACTCTTGTTTGCTATCCTGAATTTATCAGAGGTCCGTTTTTTCCCGAGTCTCATCAGGAAATCTCCTTTGCTGTTTTCCCGTTAGGATCAACTTCAGTATTCTAACTCTCCTGCTCCCTCACATGAGAAGAGTCTAAAGGACACCTGTAGACAAGAGACCTGGCCCGTAGCCAATGGATGGCCATACACACACAAAACCCAATATGCGCTGATTGAAGTGAAGACTGTGTACCGAAAGTTTCCTAATCCTTGACATAATTTCACCCCCAATTTGCTCATGTTTTGCTGTCTTTGGGGTGATTCATTTTGATTGGTCATGACTCTGAGCTTGTGAATCGGAACCGGATTTCATACCGGGCTGCTTTGCTGCACTGCACAACAAACAGATACGCTCGGTCCATTTTTACTCAACATTCATCATGATCATCATCCATTCTCTGTGGGGCTCGTACACGGTGGCCTCATTCATATTAGAAAACACCTTGGTGATTTATGAGTGTATGTGTGGTTAAGGATACATAGATAGCCTTTTTTCCCGTTGTCCTTCTGATCTGTGACTTCCCAAATGTCAACAAAAAAAACCTTCAATGTTTTTTGTCTCGATTTATATTCTTGCTTGATCGCATGATAGAGTATAAGGTGATTTTTGTTGGCCCAAGGTCTCGCCTTAAGGGGAGTGATCAGGAGTGATCTCGTGTTTCACGAAGGGGCCACCTCCTTGGTTCTTCAGTAGGTACCATATTGTAGTTCATTTCGGCAGTTTTCATGACATCATCATCCTTTGCTCAACACAAGCCCCACTGTGCGAGACGGTGCCCTAAACCCCGAAGGCCATCGGGTTGAGGAGGGACTTGGTACAAAAGTTCTTGCCTAAGATTTTCCTAAGTGACATCATGCTTTGGATTAACCCGCATGTCACTTTGAGATTTTCAGAAAAATGTTGAAAATTTCAGGGTGATATATAATTTGGAACCTCAGAATATCAAACTTAGGAGAAATCTTTACAAAAAAGCTCATGATTTCAAATAACGTACCTCACCTCTACCATTACAGATGTGAATTGATTGATTAGTTTTGGTAAGATCAATCTAAAGTTTTCCCAGAAAATTTGATTCATGAGGTGATAGAAAAAGTTTGAAATGATGTTGAGGATGGAGTTGAGAGTCCCCCTGATTTGTGATTATACTCTTGAAGATTTTCGAGATAATTATGTAAAGCACCAGTGTGTTTTTGTCACAGCCGGTGTTTGTATTCCGACCGATCAGATTAAATGGATGATGTTTTTTTGAGAATTAACTTTGATTTGATTTGTTGTATGGTATGTAAGATGCTTTAGATATATCTTGAGATTAATGAACGATCAATGTTATGGTCTTGTTGGGCTTTAGAATTCCTGGATGGATTGATGATGGGATGATAAGATTAATTCATCAGAATGAGATCGGCATTTTGATATTTTAATTTGTTTTTGATTCGATCTGATTTTGCTTCAAAGTGTTTCGTGAGAGAAGAAATGCTGAAGATCTTGAGAAAAGTTTGAACCGAAAATTGGGGATACAACTTACAACACGTGAAATTGTAAGCTGAGTAGGTTTTCTTTTGCGTGCAATCTTCCATCCGTTAATCCATGGACAGAGTTGAGGAATAAGGACGTTGGACTGTATGGAAATCGACTCATGTTTTCGGTCTGCTTCATCGCTTGCACATCGTCATTACGTAAGGAACAAATCATCCAGCTCTTCACATACAACCATGCAACGTCAAAAACTCTAACCGATCCAAAATGTAAAATTTTATTACACCTTGTGTTGTGTGGGTTCTTTGTAAAGGTCTTTAGATTAACTTTTTACAAATACCAACCAGGCTCATTCGTCATCTAAAAATCGAAATTGAGTTTTATGAGTCGCATGGTATTTTGGAAATCATTATACTGAAAGTGATGCTTGTTGATGATGATTTATTATAAGTTAATCTAATCTTGATTTCTATCATCAAGAGTTTTTTTTCTTCCTTGGCTGGTGCTTCCTTTTGAAAATTGGTGGAAAAATTGACGTTACCAACATTTACAAATCTAATCTTCTTCGCTGCCTTGTGCTTAAGATTTCCTTTCCATTACGTTCATTATCTTATAAATAATTTGGTCATCATCTGGTTTTTGTTTTTCAACTTCATCATTTCCTTTATCATTCAAACAATTATTGGATTACATCAACTTTCAGATCTTATATTTCTCACAATTCTATTAAATCGATCTCTGTTCACTTCCTTTGAAGTTATTCCGTAGAACAAGAAATTTATACATTAGATTTGCGGTCAGTTTCGATCGACAATATTTTTCGATTCAAAGTACTACTCCCTGGATTTCTGGAGTTCATTTTCTTCCAAGAATCATCATAAAATGACTGTAAACCATCCACCAATTCAATCAGGTTTACCATTTCTCAAATCAATTCAAGTCAATGACGAAGTTGACTTCAATTTTATAAACAAAAACCAACTCAACTTATATCCAAACCATTGTCAAGTTTACGAGTATGATAACTTTGATAGAACCAATCCTTTAAATGATGAGAACCATTTACAAAATTATCATTTCTTACAATTTAAATGCAATTCTAGTGATTTCTTTCCAAATGACGTAAATTTATTATTGCATTATCAAAATCAACATCAACATCTACTGCAACAGGAACAACAACAAGAACGACAACAACAACAACAGCAACAAGAAAGCTCAATGCCGAGTCCGCCTTCGACTTCAACGTCGAAATTCAATGAGCCTGATCAAATTGATGCTTGCAACTTGAACCAATTCTCTCCAAATCCAGCTTTGCTTCATAATAGTAAGTTACCAAAGAGCTGCACATTCGAAATATAAGTTCGAGTGCTTTTTTAAGTCGAAAGTAAATTGATGGCCTTTTTTCATTTTGCTCTATTTGTCGCAGTGCAATCAATTCCCGGAACCCAACCAACTCATCCTTCTCATCCAGCTCAATCAATTTCTCAACTTAGACTTCAGACTATCACACCTGAATTAGAAAAGCTTCCATCTTCTTATCCCATTCCATCTTTGAACTCTAGTCCAATCTCTCATTCATCCTCCATTTCTTTCGATCAAATTCATCCTCTGGATCTCAAGCCTAATCTCGATGATTTCAATTCAACTTTACTTCATCAATCACAACCACTTCAATCGCCTTTATCGCCTCATCAATACAATTTAAGCTTACATTCTCAGTTAAATTCATTTCAACCTTACAATTCTAACTTTTTTGATCAAAATCAATCATTTCAAGCCCAACCAAATGCACCCATCCCAAACCAATACTCAAACCATTCTCACCCAAAACCTCAAACAAGAATCAAATCAAATCAAGAAACTCAATATAAAACAAAAATCCAAACCCAAAGAACCAAATCAAATCAATCCCAAGTGCAACCAGAAAAAAAGTACGGATGTTTGATCTGTAACAAACATTTTGCACGAGCCTTTAATTTACAAACACATATAGCCACTCATAAAGGAATCAAACCATTTAAATGTCCTACACCAAATTGTTCAAAATCGTTTTCTCGTCGTCATGATTTATCTCGTCATTTAAATTCATTACATTCTGATTGGTTAAATTCATTGAAAGTTAATTCTAATCAAATCGTTTCTAAACTTAAACTTGATGATCATGATAAACTTTTGTTTAAAACTTGTTCTAATTACTTTCAAATTTGATCTATCTTTTTCTCCTTATCTTCATTTCTAGAATATTTTTTGATCTGGAATCAATTATTTATTGGTTGTTTCTTTCTTTTTTTTAAAAAAATACCTAGATTTCTGTTTATTTATTACTTCATGATCATGATCAATAATGGTGATTGATCTCAACTGTCTGTCTCGATTATACTGTTGACCTTCTCCCTCTAAAAAAGAATCTCTCAATTGAATATACTAAAATTGATTGCTTTCCTTGTTAATTACAAATGGATAATGACTCTTTATACAAATATAAAATATGTTTCTTTTTAAAATGATAAAAAAGCTTTTGGTTGACAAGTTCAAAAGGATGATGTCGGATTATTATCGTTTGTTGAGAATTGTTCGAGTAGGTAGAGATACAGATGATACTATGGTGTTCAACTCGTGGGGTTGAGTTTTATTAGCTTGATGCTGCTGCATTTTCCAAAAATGTCATCTTGAAATCTGATGCTCCTCGAGCGCAACATTGAAACCACAAAGTCTGTTGTCCAATCAGAGCGCAATATGAGTTGGAATGTCCTTTCAAGTGACTCTGCATTGATACAGAAGTCAATTTCCAATCAATGTTCTTCAATTCCATCTTATGTCAAAAATCATGTTTCAAATTTTGTCACCTATCCAGTAGGATTTTAAGAACCTTTTCTATCGCTCTACTGAATATCTTAAGGACCAAATAAATATTGAAAATGTGATGCTATTAACGTCCCTGAATTGGTCCTCTAGTAAGAAAACATAAGTAAAGATTAAAATGATACAAAGTTACAAAAGATGATATTATCCCATAAATATTACAAAGAATTTAGATTCACTATCACTAAGGCATAATTTACAATTTTAGAAGCTCAACTCCTCCGATTCCCAAGAGACTTTCCGAAAATTCCTTTATTTCACCAACAGATAGCAATAGTATGTCATCAAAGTCACTTTACTTTTCAAGTAGTCTGCTTAATTCTCTCCCTGCCATGGTTTTCGCCCCATCAGCACAATTCGAATTTGATGCAATTTGAGTGGTTTCGAGAACAGGCGGATTTGTCTTCTTTGAGGCTGGCGATACAACATCCTCTTCAACAGTTGTAGAAGAAAATAAAGACAATCGTGGATCTGTACTGATCTTTCGTAATTGATCCTTCACAATTGAATCTAATTCGATTGGAAGGCTTTGACGATGTCGATGACATGCAAAGGCTTGTCTTTGACGTTGTTCACGAAAAGTTAAATCAAGATCGTCATGTGGGCGATTTGGAGTTGGTGATAAGTATTTTGCAGAGTTTGCTTCCTGATCTACCGTTGCTAAGCTTTGAGGGATCAAAAATACTGATTTGAAACAAGCCTCGCATGCTCGGGCGTATCTATCATTGCCCTCACGACTCATAATGACAAAGGTCTATAATAGTTTGTTTCGAAGAGTTTTTAAAGACAGGAATAAGTGTTATGAAGATCTCATGTCGATCGGTTTTTTGATATGATAGTAAAATGTTACTTACGCGTGACGAACAGAGTGCACAAAACACACAACCACATAATCGACAATGATGTCTACGTCTTAAAAGACTAAACCTCTCTTGACATGCCATACATCTACTTGCTTTATTATCAGGTACCCAAACTGGTGCACTATAATTCTGAGCAACAAAATGAAAACTTTCATCAAATGTACTTTGAGGTCTTGAAGGATTTTCAAGTTCTTGTGGCTTTGATCCAGTTCTTTCAAAATCGTTTTGAATATTCTGACTTGAACTAGATGTAAAAATACTTCGGTTTACAAGAGCTTTGAGGTTCAAGAGTGAGATAACAGAAGATTTTAAATTTTGGGTGGAAGGGGATGTCAGCCTTGATAGATTTGTAGGATTTCGAGTTTGATAGATCGTCCGTTCGGTATCCTTTAGATCGTTAAACCCCTGACCCCGATTAATTGGGCTACTAAAACCAAGATCACTACCATCAGCTGGAGCACTGCTTCCAGTCCCATCACTCGAGGCAAATGATACCCAGGAAACTACTCGAAGTGGAGGACTAGAGGTTTGAACATGAGGATGGGAAAGTCGAGGACGTCTTTGAAAATCGCTAGGTCTGTTTTCTTCCGTTATGAATAGAGTTCCTCTGTTGTCTAACATGTCATTTTTGGCTTGTCGTAGAGCCTTGATCCACTCTTCCTTCACATCACTACTTTCTGGAAAAATGAGACGAGAACATCAATAAGGAATACTGAATTGTTGAAAGGAACTTTATATCCACTGAAAGTGTGGGTCTGAAGAAAAACTCACCAGCATATACAACAAAGCTCTTTGTCGAAGACAAAATTTGAAACGCTCTGTCAGCGTCTTCCGTTCCATAACCCGTACCTACCACGTTCAAGTCGTTTAGATCCATCTTGAGACAAAATATCAGACGTGCTCTGTTATCTTCACTATATCCAAGATTACTGAATAAACCTGAATAATTTCTAGCAGAAGACTGAAGTGGATTCATATACTGATAGGAATTGGAAGATGTTGAAGCAGTAGATCTGATACCGAGCCATTTGATCCAACCTTCTAATGATTCTTGGCTATAGTAACTCAACAATCCGGCATAGATTAAACAATCATTGAACAGAAAGAACATCCGATTCCGACGATCACCCTTACGATCCAATTTGAGAAGTAATCCAACTTTAACCAACTTACGAGTTGGAGTCACCAATGAAAAATTGAGACCTTCCATTGAACGTTGAATTTCTAATGTTTTGGTCCTCTCTTCCTGATCCTTCATGGCGGTTTCTAATTTTCTAGCCACAAAACTTAACGTTTCACTAGATGATATCAAATGATGATAATCTGGGTCAAATCTTTCCGAAGAGTTCTTGATCAAATCTTTGATTAATAATTCATAACGAGGAACCCGTTGAATAATTTCCAAAAGCATATGAGGGAAACCTAAGCCATTATCAATACCACGTCGACTACAATCTGAAAGGAGTTTTGCGAATTGAGGACTAGGACTGGGTTTTTTGGAATGAATATGAAGTTTGGATTGTGAAAGGGAAAAGTTGGCTGTAAACACAGTGTAAAGTTTAAAAAACTCCCAGAGGGGTGACAGAGTCTTTCCAACCATAAGTTCATCAGCTGTGGCTAATATCTTTGCGTCTTGTTCAGCAGTTTTCTTACGGTGATCATCTTCTTCTCCGGGTATTAGAGAGGGTATGGCGTCTAGGTCGGTATCGAATAAATTGGCCTTGATGGCAATTGCCTCGAGTATTGACAGGAACTCCCGAGCCAAAATGAAAATTGCACCAAAATTGGAAAAAATCTCCGCAGTTATGGATACTGGCAGGATCTCCTTGGAGGTCGAAGCATTACTCGGTCCAGGAGGCGCCGGCACAATGGGAGAAGCCAAGCTTGGTACCCGGCTGTAAGTTATGCTATAACGAGAACTATGTGAGTTAAGAGCCGAATCCTCTCTTCCTTGAGATTGTTGTATTGGTTTGAGGTAATTATCATTGATCTTCTGAAGAACTGCCACGTAGCGCCTTTCAGTCTCGATTAGCTCTCGTATGATGAGCCGTTTTTTGCGGGCTCGCCGTATAGTGTCTTCATAGCTTTCTTGAACGCATCTTGGACTTCCTACAGCTCGCTTGAAGTCTTCTTCATTTTCTGGATCAATCGCCAACGATTCGTCAGTCGGAGGAGAAGATGTGATACATGTCCGGGCGTTCTCTGCTTTTTTCAATCGAAAATGCGATTTGAGGTTGACATTAGCTCCTCTCGCATTGGAGGGTCTCTCACAACGCGCGTCAGTTGAAAATCCAATCGTCTGACTTCTTGAAAGCGTCGGAGGTCTAGAACTGGATGCCACACCGGGTTGCGGTGTACGGGAGAGAGGAAAGATTACTTTATCTTGGTTATTGTGCATAGAAGAGTTCCTGGTCTTTGGCTTCAGGGTATGAGTAGAAACAGATTTAGGAAACTGGACCCAATCTTCCGGTTCTTCTGTTGTTGTTCTGAAGTCAGAATCCAGATGCGATGGGTTGAACGTAGTAGATTGATACTCGGGAATCGCATGGTCCATACCAAGTGGAGACTTTCCGGAACTTGTTCGAGCCCTCGTGCCGACCACTGGAGCCTCTGTGCTGGAGGAAAATAATTCTGTTGCCAAGCCATAAATCGCAACGGTGCTTCGCTTTAAAGTATGCCCATAAGAAGGCTCAGATCTGCCAGGGTCGATACCGAATGCAGGAAGTGAAGTACGGCGATCGAGTCCTGATCTGGACAGTACCTTGGGGGTAGGTTCACCGTTCTCCTTGGAATCTGGATAAGTAGTCGCAAGAGAAGTATGCCTATTGGAAGTTGAACAGTCCGCCTGCGTACGTGAACGATCACGAGGCCCTTGGCTCGTTGGAAATTCGACCAGATATTTTGCGGATGGTCGAGGTGATTGCACGGATTCCACAGAATCTTCGTTTCTGCTGTGGTACACCGTCACGTGATTCAAAAAGATGACAAGGTCAGTTCAAGCTTGTGATGAGCAAATCTTTGGCGGAAGTCGTACACATTGGTTATATTGCTAAATTGTCTTCCACGAGTTTGTTTACGAGGCTTTCTATCCATAGTTAGGAGTTTTTCGAATAATGAGTGATTCTTGAAGTGTAATATTATTTTGAACAGTTCTTGAGTGAGGTGAGCAATAAATTGAGTTCTTCCTAGTTTCAATACTTTTTGAAAGCTATTAAGCACAGAGCAAGCTTGTCTGGGATCACTAAGCAAAGAGTGACGGGTGCGAGTGCGCGTGACTGAAGCGCTCGGAGTTAAGAGACGCAGACTGAAGAGATGAAGTTGCCAAAGCCAACCGCGTCAAAGTCCTGATGAAAAGGTAGCAAATAACCAAAGGAGTAAGTCTCTTGTTGATCAAATGATGGATGGAGCAATTACAAGACGCGTTCAACACTGAAAGGGTCTCATCATGGATCAGCCGACATGAAAGGACGACTTGTTTTAAACCAATACTCTCATCGTTCACTTGGGTCTGAACAGAAGAAGCATTTTGAGACAAACTTGGAACGCGATGTCAGCTGAAAAATAACTGCTGGGTCGAATGAGGACGCCCAGGTCAGGTCAATGAAAGGTACAACACGACTTGCCCTGCACCTGACGGTTGATTCAATATCTTCTGTGATCAAAAGTTCATCCATGGAACGTCGTCATCATCATCATCATCAAAACAAGAAGAGGACGGAATGGAGAATTTCCAACACTCGACAGGCCCAGTCTTCAACAATCAGTCGAAGGAGCCGAAGTTGAAGCGGAAGGATGTCTAGATAGTGACACTCAAGTAACATAGATGTAAACAACATGTGAAATGTTCACCCGCATACATACTAAACCGAATCCTTGAGTCTGAAGACCGGAGCAAAGCCTTCTGAATACCGTTCATATGACCAACCATTCGATGTCAATAGCTGCCAGTCTACCTTTTGAGGTGCTTGATTTAATCGTCAACCTTTTACTTCGTTCTTTGCCAGAAGATGAAGACAAGAAAGCTCTTAAGCTCGTCATCGGTCAGCTCAGGCTAGTATGTAAAAGCTGGTCCATCATGCTGTTGAATCGCCTTTATCATTCATTGTCGATCGAGGACGACCGCCATGCAAATAAAATTTTATCTCACTGGAGAATCTCAACTCACCCTAAGGCAACTTACGAAATCCCTCGCACCCAAAAACTGTCAATCAAGCAGCTATGGGTCGGGTCACCTTCGTGTGCTCGCCGAGATGAGAGCTTCAGCGGCTTCGGCAACCTTGATCAATTATTACTTCTCTTTGCTGAAAGCCTCACTGAACTCGACATGGAATTCATTGACTGCTTCGATTTTCCATCAACGACCGTCCACATCCTTGGGAAGCTGAAGTACCTTTCAAGCCTACGATTCAGTATCATCGCTGAAAGAATCATCCCCCCCGATCAGCATCAACCCATTTGGATAGGATCAACAGGCTCCAATCAAGTGGAGAGCTTATCGTCGGTTCTGATCGTGTCTCAAAATCTCAAAATCTTGGATTTTTGCCGCCTGCCAGCTCTTCCCTTACCTCGCGGCCCTCTGCCCGCCCGTCTTCCTCCAATCAGTCACTTAGAATTTGATTACATGGATGATCAGTCTTCAGAAGCGCTCGTCAACCTGTGCTTGGCCCTCAAACCTAGTCTACGGATACTTTCTGTGCGGGGTTTTCGACAAGATACTCTTCAGCTCAAACCAGTCTTCGAGACCGTACGAGATACCTTGGAAGGTTTGTTCATCAGTAATGAGAATTTATTGGCCGATGTCTTGGATCTCTCGTTCCCTTGTTTGAAAGTTTTTAGAGTTAATTATTGGGCGGAATGTATTGGTCGATTCCTTGATCGACCAATGTTTGAGAATGTGACAACGATTGCGTTATACTCCCATACGATTTACCGTCGGCGAAGACAATTCAGGACCGATCCGTTTCGTCATATGCCAAATTTACAGCAAATGATATTCACTCATACGCGTGTTGGTGATGAAGCGCCATACAATTACTCGGAAGCATGTCATCGTCGTGGAATTCGACTCATACATATAAACCACGGCTCTGTTCATGAAATCATGGTGAGCTCGCGAGCTTCAGTCATCTTTGTTACTCATGCAATATGGCCGTGTACTGATGTGATCTGATTTTTGGGGCAACTGTCCAATATATCTAGAAACTGGACGCAAGGCTTCCTGACCGGACTTGATGTGATGTCAAGAGAACCTTCCTATATACATATATGTACAAAACCATTCTTCTTTGCTTCTAGCTAACTTCTTTGGCATGGATTTGCGCACTGTACCATCACATACACACTTTATCTTCAGTACAATATATTATATGTGTCACTGTGACACTCATTCTCCAAGTTCTATAGTTGACTAACCTCAAGAAGCTCAAGTAAACATCTACCTATCTGACTGTGTAGTCTTGATTGAATCCAAGGAGGCCACATTATCAAGTTTGGTGTGTCAAATTTTCTGCACCTGATATCTGCCCAAATTTGAAGTATGTACTCCTACATCTCAAGCTGCAAGTTCTAGCTGATTCTCCCCAAGAAGTACTCTGGTTCCTCAATATTCTACATTCTTAGCAGAAATTATGTCAGTTCATGTACTAACACCCTAGGCATGCAGATTGATATACCAAGGCCCAAAGGGCAAAGTGTTTTTCCACCCTCAGAATTTGTGTTATCCCACACTCAATTTGAGATGTGATATTTTGCTTAAACAACCTTGGATCATGATCAATAATTGCAAGTAATGTGTCTGCAAACTCTTGACAAATATCAATTGAACTGTGTTTCAAACATAAATCTGATACAAACTAGATCTCACGTAACCAGTCAGATCTCTTGTCAGGACTTCAAAGTAAGCAATCTTGACAACTTACCTTAACAAATAATAGCTACCCTGAAACAATCTCAATGTGTGGCTCAATTTGGATTTAATGCAACAGTTGAGATAATTTGTAACAAAATTTGATGAGACCTGTGCATGTGTTCAACATTTTTAAAAAACATGCTGAACATAGGAGATTGCTTCTGAGCACCTTGACAAAACCTTGTTTGTCTTTGATCAAGACTAATTTCATGCTTGTTTCCCATGTCTACAACAAGTCTGTGTTGTGTATATGCTGGAGTACCACATGAAGATAGAAATAGTGCAGACTACACCATACAACTTAAGAATTCAGGGCACCAAAAGTTGAATATGAAATCATTGGAGCTCCCCTTGGGCTGTGTTTGATTAACAGACTGGACTTTAATCTTGGTTCACTACGGCTTGGCTGTGAAATTCTTGGAGAAAATCTCATGAAGTGATCTTGGACCACACTCATGAATCAGAAGCTCTACATGATAAAGAAGGAAAAACATCCGGACTCTTGTTGAAGGAGCTGGTTGTAATTTGCTCATGGTGTCTTGGGTTTTCTAGTGTTCTTGTTGCTTGACTTTCTAGCAAGCACTGGGCTATCCAAAAAAACAAGAGGGTCTCACAACATTGATAATCCTGCAGCATCTTCTGACAAAGACATCTTACAAATCAAAATAATTCCTGAAGGCAGCATGTTATGCCAAATATGTTCACACTCAATCTCAATCATCTTACATCTAAAGAACCAGGTTTAATCTGCACTCATATACCCCATAGACAAGGTGATTATTGTATCAAGGTAACTGTCTCACTGAAAGATGATACTCACATGTTGCAGCCAGTGATGATGTTCAAAGATGATGGAATTGAGTCATGAATCAGGGCCACACACAAATAGAGGATTTGTTCAATACACCTGCCAACATGCCTAAGTTGTCTTTTTCCTTGAAAAAGGGGGTTAAAAGTTATCAACAGTTCACATCAAAACAATACAATTGAATCATCATATGGCCTTCTCTATCATATATGAAGAGAATTCAAGTTATGTTTCAATTTCTTTGAAAAGTGGACATCAAGACATGAGACATAGAGCTGGGTGGGTAGAAAAAATTGATGTTGGTACTCTCATACACAAGTATCCATGTACCTGTTTGAACAACACACTGTCCTTATGGTGAGCCCTTGTTGAAAATGGCACATCAACTTCCTTTTGGGCAAAAAGGGAGATTGTGAATGCTCATTGGGAAGAAAACACTACCCAGACACAATGTCTTGTAGTTTTGCATTTTGACCAGGTGGATAAAACAGGTCCCTTAGGTTTGTGTGCTACTACTAATAAAATTCAGATTTTACAACAGACCTCAACAAAGGAGAGTGATAGATCAAAGCACTATAAGACAGTGAAAGATCAGATCAGGACAGCAGAATAAAGACCTCTTACAGGATAACATGACTGATATAGATGATGATCAGCAGCAGCTGTTCATCACAGGTAAAGAACAAATCCTATAGTTGTTAGTATCAAGGGCTTATAAATTTCAGCTCAAACCTCCAAATTGGATGTTCTTGCTCAAAACTCGACATTTCAAGCTCACAAGACCATCTTCAGAATTCTCAGCCCAGTTGCTTTCCATCTAGATATTTTCTGAAGGATCCAATTAGAACTTTTTTTTTGTTTTTTCTTTGTTTTTTATCATTAAATTCAAATTTCCACTCAAAGACAACACCTGGAAAATCCATGAACAATGGCAGGTCTATATTTGAGAAAAGCTATCCATTCACAGACATAAGTCTGAGGATCTTGAATCTGCTCTTGAATGTCCAAAACTTGGTGTTTTGAGAAAGAACATTGGATTGGGACATTTGTCGTATTAGTCTAAAATTCATAAGCATTTCACATTAACAACCATAGCTAGAATAGAAATCAAATGAGAGACATAAAGGTAGATGGAGGGACACATAGTAAGAAAAGAGAAAATGGGATAAGAAGTATCAAGTAGTAGAATGGTGATGAGGTGAGTAAGATGATCAACTTTTGATGACAGCAAGGCTCTTCTGGAATGTGGACCTACATGTACAAAAAGACATACTTTGGACCCAGATCATATCAAGACACATCCTTGATATCACCCATGTACTCTAACAGCATCCCATCCAAACAACATCAGAAAGTCATATGACAGAGACAGTGTTCCTCACTCAATCTTGATGACATTGCCTCACCAGGTCATTAGAAAGGTGATCTTCACTCAATGTGACTCTGACTCAATCACAGCAAGTGTCAGTCCTGAATACTTGTCCAGCCAAGTTGAAACCTGGTCAAAGATTGAAATATGGGTTTTGTGTGGGAAGAGTCTTCCAAAGAATAAAATAAATCCTTATCAGAAGATGTAACCCTTATAAACTCAATCTGATACCACCAATACTCAAATTATTGATCTGCTTCAGAAAATATAATTTACAGCTGGATGGGCTTCAAACAAAGCAAAGCTTGTACAAAGAGATCTCTAACAACCAAAAGTTTGGAGACCAAATACATTGATTTTTGATAAGATGGATTCTCAACTAGAATGATAATGTTAGAATGAATAGGAAAGGTAGGTTAGATTGCAATGATAAACAACTTACCTAGAATGATAATGTTAGAATGAATAGGAAAGGTGAAGAAGAAACCAATCCATCTAACAAGAATTCTACATTAGATATATAAACTATGACATTAGGTTATAAGGCTAATTAGAGAGATAAATGTATTAGCATAATCACTATGATGTCATCCAACCTATGCATACAACAACACATCATAACAATTTTTTGACCTATGTGTTCAGGTCAAATTGAAAACAAACATCAATGCTAGAACCCACATTGCCAATTTTGAAGAGAAAAGATGCAAGGCTTGACTTTTAGTGATCCAAAGCTTTAGACTGTTTGCATTTTGATGACACAATCTCTCAAACAAATTGAGATCAGTTTGGGGATGGGTAAGGCACTTTTTGTCAAAGATTGACATCTGAGAAGACTCAAAGGAACAGCTGTGCTTAAAAAATGAGCTCAGAATAATGTAGATTACACAGGGACCAAAAGACTTGAAAACCACCATCATGGCTCATTGCTTGGTACCAGATCCATAGCCAAGTTTGCGTATTTGGCTTTCAAATGATTTGACAACAAAATGCTCTCAGTCTCGCCTTTCAATCCACATTAACAACCTTCCCACATGATCATCGAGTCCAATATTACAATGAAGCAAAGATCAAACTGCGACAAGTCTATGCCCTTTCATACTTTATCCACAACCCGCAACGTCACCAAGGGATGAACGTTTCGAGAAAAGACGAGTCAGAAAGACGGAGGAAGCATGCGCTACGAGTAGGCTGCTTTGCAATCCGTGGGGTTGTTTTCATCCCTGGAACGGACTACCAATTTAACATCATCGAGCATTTGTTGAAATTCAAGGAAATAAGACAATCTTTGGAAGATGGTCTGGTGTAGTTGAAAAACGATGAATATCGACATGGCACGAACGATGGCGACGGAAGTGATCAAGTTGAGATCCACAGGAAATGCATTCCAAAAAAAACGAAAACGAAAAACAAGAAGTTGAAAGAAGAAAGAAAGATGTTAGATCCATCAGGTCATCACCACGAGCATTCGCCAAATAATTAAACAAGTTCCTTCCTACGGGAAACAAGGGCGCCCCAGAGCGATGGTTTAAATACGGATCATCATGATATCAAATTTGATTTAATCGGAATTCAATAAATTTTTATAACGTCAACTTATGAGATCTCCCTCAGCGTGTGCAAAGAAAGCATGATGAAGTTTTGAACCCTTCGGGCATCAAGATCTTTATCGACTTTCGTCTTGAAATGACTTTCGTCAATCAAGTTTCGCAGGTTGATGCCAAGAGGGTGAAATTATTGCGTATGGTGATTCGGAAACACACCAGTTCAAACGCGGCTTTTTAAATCCATCGAGCCCGACTTACGCTGCGCCGCAGCAAAACCCCTGCTATGCTCAACCTGTGGTTTATCTTTAAGCTAACTTAACTAAGTCCCTCTCGGACGAACGAGTAGTCGAGAGAGGGACTTATACCTTATACCACAACTTTGGCGTATGAGCCGGAGAAGTTTGGCTGGGCACCTTTTCAATCTTCTATATCTCTATAGCCTACAAACAAATATCCTCTGTACCAAAGAAAAGTCCTCTGCGCCTGATCATCCTACACACGCACATCTTTTCAAATCCCTTCTTTGCCGCCAGGGAAGCCCTTAAAAACCGACTTGAAAAATTGTTTTTGTGTAACATTTCAGCGCGTTTGGTGTGAGCTTTTGACAGGCTGGACAGCTTTCTGTCCGATTTTGGTGATTTTTGCAAACTTCACAATTGCATTGCTCCGTGAGTTCTCAATCAAATTAGATGTAGGCTACACACATGTGTGTAGATTAAGCAGGCGCATAGCTCTTTTCTTTGGTCCCAAGGACATTTGTTTGCAGGATCCACAGATATGGCGCGTTGAAAAAGTCCCCAGCCAAATGTTTCCGGCTCATCCGCCAAAGATGTGGTATAAGGTATAAGTCCCTCTCTCGACTACTCGTTCGTCCGAGAGGGACTTAGTTAAGTTAGATCTTTAAGTGCCTTTGACCAAGTGTAATACCCCCGTAAGACCATGAATTGTCGCGCTGCCCCGTCACTTCCGTCACTACACCACATAAATATCAATCGAGCCGCATACAGTCTATCCAGAAGGAAAGGATGTCTGCCTCCACCAGTCGTCGAGTTCAAGTACCTGGTGCAACGTAAATCATTTATCCTTTCATTTCTTAATTCAAACCCACAGTCTTATGACTTATTCAAAGAAGCATATACTGAGGATTTGTCAAACAAAACGCACCTGATTGATCGATAATTGATAGGGTAATCTCTTATTACGTCGATGCTGATGGTCAATTCGGAAATATCAAGGTCGGATATGACGTGGCCAGATTCGATGAAGCTGTTCGAGAATATCTTGTCGTGAATGAATTTCGTACCAAGAAAGTTACAACTACCACCCCAGGAGCTGAGCTGGAAGAGAAGATGGATTCGCTAACGACTGAGAATGCACCCAATGGCTCGAATGGCGTTAGCAATGAACCAATACAAATCAAGAAAGAAGACACTCAATTGATTGTAGGTTCTTGAGATAATTCTCAAGCTTCATATCCTGATTTTAGGGATCGATTCACTGATTACCAGTTCAGACTGTGTAGTGGGTAGAGAGCTTGTTGACTAACTTGATTTCCTTTATCAGTGTTCTCAACTCGAAGTAACCCCCAAAGTAGCCGAACGGGCCTTGAAAGCTTCGCATGGAAATTTGGCCGAAGCTCTTCTATACTTGATTCGCAAATAAAACTCAAACACCGATGCTTTGGGAAAGTAGAATGTGGTCGTTCATTGACTCATCAAGACTCTTGGCTCGCTCAATGAACATCAAGGGCTGTTGGTCGTACGAGGACGCCTCGGACATCGTCATTTTTGCTCATTTTGGATTAGAGCAGTAATTCCTTTCATGTATAGTGGTTGGACAATCGAGACAGTTTACAGACTCAATTTTATGTTTAAGATAAAATCCTCACAGATATATGCATCCTGAATGTAGATCCCCAAACAACCACTTTTACAATGAGGCAACAAACTTCATCATATCTTTTAAATAAACAACATACACATTGATGGACATCATGAGTGATAATTGCACAAGTACAAAGAGTGGCAGGTGGAAAGAATGAAATACATCCATGGGATGAGAAATAAAATCATAGGCTTTAAATTATTAAATCAAGTTTTTACTCCTTGCCTTCCGTCTTCATAAAGTGCAACATAAATTTACATAGTACTTCAACTTGCTCCATCGTCACTGCGTTATAAAGTGAGGTACGAATTCCTCCAATTGATCTAGAGGTGACTCCCCCAACCAAGATAATGGTTATCTCAGCGATCAAAAAAATATTCGTATGTGAGGTAAAGAGACTGACCGATGTCCTTTGATCTGTTTGATACCTTCTTTGTGTGCCGCGGCGATAAACCGCTCCTCGACTGAAGTGCCACCTGAACAAGTAAATATGACATTCATGCGGCTTCGTGCGCCCGCCTCAATTGGGTTCATATAGAATCCTTGACTTTCGTCTATGATCTTATAGACTACACTGGCTTTCTCAGAGTTAACTCGCTCAATCATCTCCACACCGCCACGTGACATGAGATCTTCAAAAACCAAATTACAAACGTAGATCGGGAACATCGGAGGAGTATTGTAAAGTGATTGATGATCCGCCAAATTTTTGTAGCTGAGCATAGCTGGAACTCGAAAGCCACCAAATGGGACAGCATCATCCAAGTTCACCAACAGGTCCTTTCGTACAATGACAGTTGTTAATCCAGCTGGACCCATATTTTTCTGAGCACCTGCAAACACTAAGCCGAGTCGATCCCAAAGGGCGGGAGAGATACGACGGGAGAGTATGTTGGAAGACATGTCGGCTACTAGTGGTACAGAGTCGTAAGAAGGAGGAAGACCTGATACATCAAAACCTGGATTCCCAAATTCCACTCCATTGACTGTCTCGTTATCACAGTAATAGACGAAAGCTGGTACACGTTGAGCAGAGTTGGGCGCGAGATCAAAAGTCCATCGATCAGCTTGAGGAATTGATTTGAATGACTTTCCATCCGAGCTATATTTGCGTGAATCGATAAGAGTATGAGCCGGACATCCAAGACGAACAGATTCATCAGCAGCTTTTGCACTCCAGCTACCTGTGATGACGTAGCCTGCAGTTACTACTTCCTCTGGTGCAGTGCGATTTTTAAGTCGAAATTGATTAACCAAGTTCAGTACCACGCATGAAAATTGTTGTAATCCACCACCTTGCATGAAGAGAATTTCGAACCGATCAGGTACCTCCAAGAGCTTACGAAGGCGGTCTTGAGCCTCTGCATTTAGGGCCTGAAAGTCTTTCGATCGATGTGAAAGTTCCACAAGTCCAATCCCAGTCGCGTTATAATCCAAAAGACCACGAGCCGCAGTTTCGAGTACGTTGGTTGGTAAAGTACATGGACCAGCTCCAAGATTGATGGTTTGAGCTCGAGTTGATTGGCTAGTCATTTCACTTTTGCGCTTGAATTGTTGAATTGATGGTGGCGTTCTTTGATTATTGATAACAAGATGTGAGATGATGCATCAGATCCTCACTGCGTCCGACTCCATGATCAAAACTTCAAATTTGGGCAGAAACTGTTTTTTGTACGTTTGATGTCAGAAATTGGTCAAAAATACGCCACGATGTCAGAGCCTTGACGCACCTCAAAGGCCAAAGGAGATGCAAGGGATATTTAAAAGCTGGTCACAAATGAATACTTGACTGATCATGTCGATGTTGAGCCTCGCATGTAAGAATTGGTTGGGTAAATAGGCCCATTGACGCTTTGTTCAGAGAGAAATGCTTTTGAAATGCACTCAAAATACCAATCTAGGCGAGATGGTGGAGGATCATTTTTGGGTCTTCCCAGAATCGTATGCAGCTTTTTGCTTGAAGTTGAAGCTTTCGAGATAATCAAAAGAAAAAAGCAACTCAATCTGATTATAAATATAAGATGGCCTTCTCTTTGTCCTTTACGAAGAAATACTCATTCACAAAACCATACATCCATATTGATACATCGCACAATCAACCAACAATATCAAGTCCTTCCACTTACCTAAACAGTCAAGCAATCAATTTTTAGATTTATATATCCGAGGCTTTTCTAATGGATCACCTAACTTCTTCCATTTCTAGCTATTCAAAGTGAGTCACTCTTGCTTACCTTGAAATAAAACCACAAATGATGGTCTGACTTGGTGTTCAATGACAGCGTTCGAGCAACTGATAGAAAAAGCAATTCTAAACCTTCAAAATCGCATGAAAAATTAACCAAGTTGATCAGTAGGCCATTCAGTTTTTTCCGACGTGAAATAATCAAAAAGGTCAAGCATGAAAAGACTGAGAACAGTACCGTTCAACACTTCCGAGAAAGCTCAGATGACAATAATCCACGTGAGTCGGAACAGAACTCAGAGGCCCATGAGCGAAGTGCTGAAGGAGGTAAGACAACAGCGGCGGAAGACACCTTACCTTTAAGTAGACTCGGTGAGAGCATTGATGACCAAACTCAGGGAGACTCCGAGCACGATCTACTGCCCTCTCAGTCAAATGTAAGTAATCTTATCAATCGAACCATCAATCAAGTGGAGCAGAAAAACTGACAGTCTTTGATTTTCTTATCAATTTAACAGTCCAGACCATTAACAAATTATTCGATAATTCACAATTCCATCATCACTCAAAGTCAAGAAGGCTATCATTCAGCTTCTAGTTTAGATATATTGAAAGATCCTAAAAGATTCATTCATGGGCTTACACATCTTTCTATACTCAACTTTGAGATTGTTTCTTCATCTTCTAGATCTGGAGAAGTCGTGAACAGTCCTTGGGATGAGAACTCATTGGAATCGGGGAAGCAAGTTCAAAAATTATTCAAGACAGACTCCGATGGAGAATCGCAGGTACTTTGTAACGACGAAGAGATTGAACAATCGAGTTCGTCTAGAAGGATTTCAACTTCAAGTCCTAAACATCAGTCGCAGAGCTTTGAACCAAGTTCACTTGAACCTATTTCGCAAGATAACCTGATTAAAACAGACGATAAAAGTAAGTCAAAAGAATACAAATTCAAACGTTCTAATGATTCAGAGCCTTATCGCGAACCTGTTTATGAAGATAAAAGTACATGGATTGCCTCTAATATGTTACAAGCATTATGGAACTTATTAGAAGGTGATGAACCCCACAAGTGATTCTCTTTTTTATTTTCCAATCTTTGATTTTCTTGTTTTATATTTGTAAGATACAAAACGCAATTATTTGCACATAATCCTGTTAGAAAAATCGGGGTTGAATCCAATCAAATGAGTCAAATTGGCCAGCAGGCCAACTTGACCAATTCCCTCCTCGAAAAGGAGACATCCTCTGGACTTACGGTCAGGGATTAGGATTTCATCTTGAAACAAGAGTGTGAGATGTGCCATTTACAAGCTACCCTATACATCTTGAATGAGGGGTTCTCTTCATTCGTTCGATCTTTCCACCTCGTGGGTCTGATGATGAGAGATCATCTAAGTACTCAAAACAATCTTCTGAACCCGCTGACTCACCCATGGCTGTTGAAAGTTTGAAGAATGATACAAGTTGCCCGTCAGAGGTGGATGCGGCTCCCATATGTTATTTCCAATGATTTTTACATTGTCCTTGCCACCGCAACAGCTCGCTCCTTACTTCGTACCCAAGATCCACCGTTGAAGGTGGCCTTGGATGATACTTTACGTACGTTTACGGAAATGATCTCAGACTCGCTGGCTTACGATGTCATTCTTCATATCCTGGATTTTAAAAGTCACGAGGATGTGGACACCGTATGGAATGAGGCCTTTCACTCTATGAGATCTAGTCAGATACCATGTGCGATTTGGTACAGTTTTAGCATGATTCATATCTCCCATTTTTCCGATCTTGCTACCACTGAACAGCTGCAGAGGCTATCCCGAATATTCCTGAGATGTTCTCCGTTCCAACTGACTCAAGCTGTCGACGAAAAATATCAAACGGCGATTCTCAAGCGTAGCGCAACACCACTTCTTTCTGTATAATGACTATCTAAACAGTGAGAAAAGTGTATTTCCTGACTGTTCATAGCTTCATTTCTCAGCATCTGAAACCCCCTCGCATCCACTTACATACACAGCTATCTTCCAAATTTCAAACTCACCTGTGAGCCCCGACTACAACCCAGCTGACCGGGTCTTGTCCGCCAAAAATCCCTAAGTCCACGATCATTACTCAACCACCCACCCACTTCTTCAATATTCAAACATCACCACTTCTTCGAAATCCATCATCACCATCAACCATCACATCATTATTTACTCACAATGGTACGCCGTGTACGAGTATGTCGCTCTCCCAACGCCTCGCCTCCTGGCAAAAAGAAACGGGCATCACCAAAGCCCAAAGCTGAAGCTGAAGCGAAATTCCAGCGGGACGTACAACAAGCTCGTCAATTACTACACGGCCTCTCAGTCTCACCCGAAGCTGGTCCCTGTACTCACGACTATGACGCTCAGTTGAATCAATTTATGCCGTATGGAGATGAAGAGCCTTCCGAAGATGAAGAGGAAGGTGGCAACGATGACGATGGTGTTGGAAGTGGCTGGGTTAACATGAAGGATTTCGATGAGGATGGGTCAATCCGACGTTTTGTGGCCAAACAACGAGAATATCATTATGCTCAACAACGTGACAAGCTTCGGATGCAGTGGGCCGAAATCGAAAACCAGCTGACTGCTGCTTACCTCGAATGTCAAGCTACGACAACAAACTGGACCACCCAATTCTCATACCTTGACGACGTCAGTAAGGATTGTCAATGCGAAGTATTTCATCATCACAATATGGATCTAGTTGATATTCTCGGTAAGTGGTGATGTATAGTTAGTTCTTCATTAATGCCTATACTGACCCTACACACGTGAACGCAGGTCGAAAATCTCAATCAGTCAAATTCTGCCGCTGCCTACCCGAACCGATACAGCTTGTCTTCCAAGGCTTTCTCCCAGCATCACCCAGTCAGCCCCGGACCGGCTTTTCCATCCGACTTTTACAACTTCATCACCATCTCTGGCTCACGTCGGTCTGCTCAGTATCGGGATTTATCGAAGGGTTGATGAACTTCCTCGATACTAGATCTGCCAAGCCATTGAAGGCACGAGGAGGCCGTGGTACACGTCGCAATCTCACCCAACCTTTCTCGAACGCCAGCCACCTCTTCAGTCGAGTGAAAGTGTTGTCAAATCAGCTACTTCAAGAAGGTCTCCAAATGAAGCCAGCGGACGTTTGGGCTCGTCGGTGCCCTCGGTGCTTTGGTCCGGCAAAGGAAGAAGTGAAGGGTTCGACGAAGGAACCCGACGTGATCATCTGTATGGACGGCAATTTTCAACATCGCCACAACATCCTTGCCAGTAAGGATAATCCGGAGGAGACTCAATATCCATCTATATTCATCCCGCCGTCCCAAATCGCCCAGCACAACGTTTTCCTCCCTGTTGTTCCTGTAGTCAAAGATGGAGCTGAAGTAAGTACCCGTCGATTTCACTCACAGGACGTACAAACTAACCAATTGGCCCTCAGTATCCATGTTCTGAAGCTCACAAGGCCGCCGACGACACCAGAGGCAAGTCCACATGGGATAAATGCAACAATACCGGGCTCTTCGCGGCGGCATGTCGCCACGATGTTCCCCTGGCGATGGCAAACATCTATCAAAGTGGCGAGAAGTATGTCCAAACTTCCTTTCGAACCTTTCTATCCACCAACAATTGATTCTAGTGTTTTATGTGTAGGATGTACTATCCGTTGAGTGATTTAAAACGAATCCTGGACGACTTTCCAGATGATACGTTTGGTGTCTTATATGACATCGGTTGTCATCTTGACAAACACATCAAATTAGTAAGTTTATTCTTAATTTCCAAATTCGAATGTGATTGCTGAGTTTGATTTTACACTTCCCTATAGCATAATCTTCTACCGGAACATCGGGACCGCATCTCGCTAGGTACATCGGTCTTCCATGCCTACGTACACACATGGGCTTGTCAACTATTCTACAACCCAAGGTACTTAGACGGTTGGGGTTTATCTGACGGCGAAGGTCTCGAACGGGATTGGTCATTCCTTGACCCCCTAATTGCAATGTTGCGAACATCAACTCGGTTGCATCGGCTTCAAGCGATTGACTTACGATGCTTAGCTTTGGCCTTGGTACTGTTGGCGGGTACTGGGGATTGGCTTCAACGTCGATTTCGAAAATCAACATCAACCGTCCAAGAAGCTCAACAGCAATTGATGACCCTGTGCACAGAGGCTAATCCTTACCAGCCCGGCACAAACTACAACTCAGCGTACTTTAAGACACAATGGGAAGCAGAAAGAGCAGCTAACCGCACTACCGCCAAAGACATCAAGGTGCGACAACAAATCGAACTAGGTAAACTACTTTGCCTGGAAGCAAAGATGTATGAAACATGGTAAGCATCTCCCTCTTCATCAAAATACAACACTCGACAATATTAACAGGTCACTCAAAAATATTGAAATTTCAATGCAGGGCAAATGATACGGACAACGAAGAGCACACCTTTAAACGGCTGGACGACTTTCAAACAATTGCCAAGGATATTGAGGCGCAGCGCAAGAAAGTCGGCCTTCCAGAAAGCTTATCTAGGCTACCACGTAAGTCCCTGATGGTTTTGACTATAGGTACTTTAACTTACAACTTTGCGAAATCAGCAACAGCGATTGATCTATTTCTGAAAGTTTGGTATGCGAAAACGGAGGTTAGAACACGATTTCTGGCATTACGGGCTGAGCAGAGGCCATTAGATCCCGAGAACAAGGTTGGAGGTGGCTCCAAGCTTGGTGAGCATATATCAATTTATTTCAATAAACTCAAGTTAATGAAAACTTGGTATTCCCCTAGGGCAACACGAGAAAGAACGTATAATGACTGCAATTTCGAAAAGATCGAAAACAATGAAAAAAGCCCTAGCAACTTATAACAAAGTCGCCCAACAGTTTCAGGCCGATTTTCCAGACCACCGATGTTCGCCAGTCATAGAGTATCTCGATTTGTTACAACTCGAGTCCGACGATCCCTTCTGGAATGACGGTGTCTTCACGCATTTGAACGAACCGTGGGCAGTGGATCACAAGACTCAAATGGGGATGAGAGCTCTAGCCCGCGTGCAGCGAGGACAAGAGGAGCTTCGGAGGGTGGGTTGGGAAGTTCGGAGAGCTATGCGTTGGGCAACCGAAGTACATCAGCAACTATGGACCATTCTCGACGCTCTCAATCACCCTGATGTCGATTTTCACATTTTCATCGAAGCATTTCTAACTAATGCGGTTCTTTCAAGCTCTTCCTTGCGCGCGAAGATAGTGCTAGTACGAGGGTTACTTCATACCGAATTCATCCGGGTTTTTACGTTACAAGTCAGGTGGGATAGGAAATTGATGGAAGTTCTAATGAAGACGCCTCATCAGGTAGGCGATGATGAATTGATGACTATATGGAAGTCACAACTTTACAAGATGGCCCAGCTCCAACTCAACGGCTTTGGATCAGCAATATCAGGAGACTATGAGCATCTGATGCCTCAGATCATGGACGAAAACTTGCTAGACAGATTTGACGGAGTAGGTGTGAATGACGGGTTCAATCAAGAACCAGGTGAGGAAGATGCGCTGTCTGATATAAATGAGGAAGATTGGCAAAATATTATTGATGAAGGTATGATGCAAAACATGTTGAATGTTGATGGGAGGAATGATGTTGAAGGATGAGGATCTGAATTTCAAGTTGTTTTTATGCAAGAATTTGTATTGTATTATATGTATTTTCATTGTTTTCTAAAAATTTTGTCTTAAGTTTGACACACGAATTACATTATATCTTTTTTGCTTTCCTTTCATACTATTTTCTGTAATTCAATATGTTCAATTTTTTAGTGAGATCTTATATATTTATGAGTGACTGTTAGAAGTTGATCAAAGTGTGACAGTGGCATTGCCCACAAGTTGAATATAGATAAGTTGTTTGCGCACGAAAACTTTACCTTCTACATCTACATTAGTAGGTATTGTCACAGTCACACACTGTGTCAGTGTATGTATGTGAGGGAGTTGTCAACCTGGGTTTTGCACTTCCTGTGCAAAATTCAGGGTGAAGGTATGGTTTTTTGGGAAAAGTGTGATAATTGACTCACCTCAAAATTGAAAAATTTCTTACGCAGCAATACCACTATAACTCAGTTGTTCACAATGTTTGGGAGTGATATATAAATGAGGACATGTTCAGATGGGAGTTTTTGATGTTCGAGTGCAAAAATCAGGGTGAAGATGTGGTATTTTCAAAAAAGTGTGATAATAGACTCCCATTAAAATCAAAAAGTGTCATTGGGGGGGCTCTGATTAGCATATTTATGTTATCTTCACTACTTTTGGGCGGGAAATATATATGAGGACGTGTTCAGATGGTAGTTTTTGATGTTTGAGTGCAAAAATCAGGGTGAAGTTACAGGTTTTTCGAGGAGGTGTAATAATAGACCCCCCTTAAAATCAGAAAGTGTCATTGGGGGGGGGGCCTGATTAGCATATTTATGTTATCTTCACTACTTTTGGGCGGGAAATATATATGAGGAGGTGTTGAAGTATTCAATTTTGAGCTTTGAATAGCTGAAAGAGTGGGAAGATGTGGTATTTTCAAAAAAGTGTGTTAATGAACTCACTTTAAAATCCAAAAGTGTCATTGCGGGGGACTCTAAACACTATATTTGTAATGTCTTTACTATGTTTAGGAATGTTTTCCACTGGAACTGGAGCAATGATCTTGTATTTTTGGCATTTGATACTAAAAAAGTAAGTGAAGATGTGGTATTTTTGAAAAAGTGTGTTAATGAAGTCACTTTGAAATCCAAAAGTGTCATTGGGGGAGACTCTAAACACTATATTTGTAATGTCTTCAATGGGTTGTGGGGTGTTGTTGGTCCAAAATGTAGTCAGATTTGACCAAGTTGAAGTGTGTGACGCATGCAACATTGTCTTTCCCATCATTTCACATCATGTTTTGGACACAAAACATCACCCAAGTGATGGAAGGAATTACAAATGTAGTGTTTGGAGCCCCCCCCAATGACACTTTTTAATTTCAAGGGGAGTCTATTATCACACTTTTTCGAAAATACCACATCTTCACTTTCTTTTTGTGCAATTAAAATGAAAAAAACACAAACAATGCCCATGCTTAAGCATAAAACCTCACCAAACTCGTTGAGGACGTTGCAAATATGGTGTTTGGGGCTCACCCCATGATACTTTTTAATTTCAAGGGTAGTTTATTAATATACATTTTTGAAAAGTCCACGCCTTCAACTTCTTACCAGCCTTTGAAGTTCCCCTTTGGCTATCTCAACACCTCCTCATCTTCAAATCAGTCCCAAGAACCGTGAAGACGTTACAAATATAGATATCAGAGCCTCTCCCAATGACACTTTTGGATTTCGAGGGGAGTCTATTATTACATTTTTTCGAAAATCTCATATCTTCACACTTAATTTTGCACTCGAAGTGTTAAAATGACTATTTTAACACCTCGTTTGATCTCAACCACCTCCAAAGGTGGTGAAGATCACGAAAGTATGTTAATCAGACACCCCCCCAATGACACGTTCTGATTTTAAGGGGGGTCTATTATTGCGCTTTTTCGAAAAACCCTCTTCATAGACCTCATTTTTGCATTCCAAATTCCAAAACTTAATTCTTGACATATTCAATCCTCCACAAATATTTGCCTTCATTCGCGTGTTTCATGCACTACAACTTATCTTCAACCAATATAAGAAAATAAGAAAATAAGAAAATAAGAAAAATATTACAACGTTCTGCTTTCTTTCGCGTGTTGTGTGCGTGTTTCATGTATTACAAGATACCCATAAGAACATAACTTTTGATCTAATTGGAGTATATCATTCGAGTGATCTATTATCAAATCAAGTGTGAAATAGAAACATAACGATCATAATTCAAAACTAGGAAGCCTTATCATGTTTTACAGGCCACAATTTATAACTTTGAAAGAAAAAGATAATAAGACAAGAATAGATAGACATTAGAATATCTTTCAAGATATATACACTACAGCCTACATAAACCCATTTCCGAAAACCAAGACCGAACTTGTTAGATCAATAAAAAACTACCTGCTATGAATCGTAAGGTGATGTACTAGTTGTATCCTGATTCGGGAGCCAGAGGCATGGACAGGGCCCGACGAAATGGTTCAGGCTCGCTCTCTTCTCTCTGTCTACAGGAGCAGGCCATGCATCTTTCGCAAGGGATGTGGTCTTGTCTACATCCGACAATCCGATTAGTTACATAAGGAGGTGAAATTGATAGTAACGAAATAGCTTACTCTGGACTCCAATTAATGACTTCAGTATAATTGGCCGAGCGTAACACCACACCTACATCAGTTTCAAGCGAGTGGCCACCTCGTACCGCCCTAGTTGGTGTGGCTATGAAGTCTGAAGAAGGCATTGAAGATGGGATTTCGAAAGGATGTCGCTCTGATAGCTGATCTGAAAGCTGAGATGACGGGTTGAGAGTGTTTTGAGACACTGGAAGATAATTCGAAACAGTCTGCTGAGATGACGGGTTAATCGTATTTTGAGACATTGGACGATAATTCGAAGAAGTCTTTGGCGTAGAACTCTGAGTTAAATCGAAGTTGAAAGTGTTTTGAGTAGAAGCCATGGAACTCGAATTGATCACTGATCGGTAAGCGTCCGAGTTCAATGACATTGGACCCCTCAAATTGATAGCAGGACCTAGAACACCTAAATCTAATTGTTGTTGTCTGTTCCAAAAGACAAGGATCAATCAAAATCAGAGCGTGATATTCGAAGAGAAGGTAAGTCCACACTTACAATGGTTTTTTGTGGTAGGGGGGTAGTCCAAGAAGCGCTTTCATGCTGTAGAACTTCCCGTTCGGCATTCGGCGCCATTGCTCCGGACCTTCTTTACACCAGTATTCGGATGGATGAGCGCACTCCGGCTTCGTGTGATTCCACCAGCCACAGTTAAAGCACTGGTCACGAGCAAGCGCTAGAAATGGATGTGCGGTGATGGGAATTGGAACATGGTACAATTCGGAGTCTCTGCGAGTGGTCAATTGAATCGGGACATGAGTGAAGTCTGGGCGAGCGGAATGTCGGAGGGTTGATTGAGTGTTCATAGTGTCAATGGAGATGATTTGGATAAAAGATGAAAGATGGTTTCGATAAAAGATTAAAAAGAAAGATGAATTCGAAGACTTTGATCAAAGATGACTTCGAAGAGTTTGATAAAAGACGAATTCGAGAATAAAGATGAATGTGAAAGGTTTGATCAAAGATGAAATCGATAAGTAATAAATTGAGTTAAGCTGATGAGTATGAGAACGTCGAGGTGGTGGATGTTTGAGAAAGGGTGCTGATAGTTAGTCAATGATGGAAATGAGGTGATGTGGACTGAGCGAGTGAGAAGGAGGTGAAGAGGAGGGAGGCCTTATAAATGGCAAAAAGGTCACCTTTGATCTTCCGATGCATCGGAAAGCAAGTCTATTGGAAGCAAAGGAATCATTTGATGATATCCTATTCCGAAGAGATATCATCAATTCAACGCGACGTGGTTGTTATTGTTATTCGATAACAGTGCAAACATATCAATTGCATTTATTTAAGCTTTCAAATCCAGATCGTGACTTGCAGCTGCATAGTTGATTGGTTACTTGCCAACTATAGGCAATATTTATACTTCAACGTGGAAGTATAATGCTTTGTAAGATAGCATATCATACATATCAAAGTAATTTCAATCATCTGACTCGACTACAAGTCGCAAGTCTTTTGCTAACAAGGATACTCAATCAGACATTTTCATTTGGGCTGCGGCGGATTCACACTTGATATGCTTTGGTAGTTAAAAGCATAAGTTTGGTTTTGATCATTGATATCCTTCTGTAGTTACAAACATCTGTTTAAAACGCAAACAGCGTATGTATTCTTTTGTAATTACAAGTATGGATTACATTTGATATGGTTATTGGGGGGAAGGGTTATGATTCTGTCGAGATCGATCAAATTGAGTAGTACCTTGCGTGTCTTGAGTGTTTGAGGTATTACTTGGAAGATTGAGACGAGGATCGATAAATAGGTTCTGCACAGGATCAGGCAGGCTCGAGTTGGATGTGTTTCGTTGACTGGATTGATCAGTCTTGGAATGCATACGTCGTTCTTCACGTTCTTCAAAAAATCGGGGGTTCCTATCAAGCCTGACTAATTGGATTAAGTTGTCCTTGAGGTCGGCTTCTAGAGCCAAAAGTTTCGCTCGGTTGAGGTTGATGCTGGGTTCCTTAAAGGTTTGTTCGACAGATCGGGCACCGGGAAGCAACTTCAATTGATATCCGGCGTCATTGAGGGTAACGTCGCACTTGCTCCATGGCCAATGGCGCAGCTTAGTAGTCTCATCTGTAGAGGAATAATTAGTTCTTGCTTATGTTTTGAAATTAGCGAATTGACTACTTACATAGATGACTGGAGAGTGACTTGACAATTCGGCTTTGAAAGGCACGCGCGCTCTCTGGTAAAGTCAAATTTAGATACAAATCATACGATGACTTTGAGAAGAGAGAGAGTAACACATACCGGTTATGGAAGCTTTCAAATCGGTGGGTGTTTGGCCCACCAACAACCCTTGTAGTCGTGTCAGAAAGTCATGAACACCGTCCATGCTATATACCATTTGGACTGCCTTGTGAATGCCGATCGTGGAGCGGGTAATCTGGAAGTTATGCTTGTGAATATGAGTTGAGACGGCTATAATTACGAGTTCGAAATGGTTGGCTTTGGCCACAGTAACACTCTGCATAGTTTGATCAAGTCAGATACACTCTTTGTCAACGCAAAACCAATACAAATTAAAACACAGACTTACATTGCTTAGAGTTTCCTCAACAAAGCTTTTGGCTTTTTCTTTGTACTGTTTGGTGTTCTTAGCATTGGCAACCGTGTTCGAACGAGATTGGAGTATGGATTGGCGGCTCTGATTCCCAACCCCCATATCGTGAAGTTGATCATTGAAGTTGTTGAGGACTGCGGGGTCGGCCTCTTGAGTAGCCTGTTTATAGACACTCTTCTCCTCGAGGGTCATCGACTTCCACTTTTGACTCAATGCCTTCATCCCTTTCCCGTTACCAACACCTCGAGCTGGTGATAGACATAAGAGGTAACGTCAGCGTGCAACTTTCGACTCATCCACATGTCACTCACAACTCACCAGCTTTGAATGTGGCCCTCGCAAGTGGACTTTGGAGAAATCGATTCCACGCGGAAGGTCTACGTACCCCTACGTACTTTCCACTACATAGAGTATTGTGAGTGATTTTGAAATTCAAAACTGATGTGTAATAAATAGTGAAACAACTTACAATACTCGTTCGATGTCAGATACAGTGATACCGAGCTCGAGTGCTTTGATAGCAATGAGCGTCTCCATCTCTTCGTGGAAATTCAGTAAGGATTCAACTACAGTATCCGAAAGACCGGTCGAGGCATACTTCTCGGCTAAAAATCGGAGTTCCACTGCGGTCTTGCCGGAGTCCTTGACCGTAGCTGGATCAAACACAGGTTCGTCATCCTCGGGGTCGGAGTCGAGCCCTCGCTCAACTTAAGTAAGTGAGTTTGTTGATTTTTTTGATTTTTTCTTTCTGTAGTCTTGTTTGCGTTTGCGAGGTGGTTGGTTGACATCTTGGGCGTCGACTGATGTCGTAGTGGTGTTTCTGGCAATTTGAGCAACTGCGGAGGCCGTGGCGATATCAGAAGTCGTGACGATGTCTTGAGTTTGTGCCGGGGTCTGAAGGCCGTGAGCTTCGCCAAGGGCTGCCATGAGCTCGAGGTTAGAGATGATGGCTGACATGCTAAGGTTGGTGGTGATGGTTGATGGTGATGATGGATTTCGAAGAAGTGGTGATGTTTGAATATCGAAGAAGTGGGTGGGTGGTTGAGTAATGATCTTGGACTTAGGGATTTTTGGCGGACAAGACCCGGTCAGCTGGGTTGTAGTCGGGGCTCACAGGTGAGTTTGAAATTTGGAAGATAGCTGTGTATGTAAGTTGTGTAATATGTAAGTGGATGCGAGGGGGTTTCAGATGCTGAGAAATGAAGCTATGAACAGTCAGGAAATACACTTTTCTCACTGTTTAGATAGTCATTATACAGAAAGAAGTGGTGTAGCGCAATTACTTTCACATAAGTCAATGTAGCGTTAGTCAGCTCACCGTCTCTCCATGAACTAGACCGCGTATGCACTTCATCATTGCAAACTGGATTAGATCTTCTGGCATACTCAGCGGGCTGAAAAGCCGTGTTGTCCTACTTACGTCATGACAGATTCCATTCAAAAATACGTTGAAATCTGTTGTATGACGATAACCACAGTCTGACGTCCGTCTCTGCATCTCGTTGGCGTAGACTGCCTCTCGAAAAAAGGTGTTACTGGGTATAACTACATTGCGTAGCTTGTAACAAGTCGATCGGAATCATTGTCAGCCTGAGATCCTAAGTAAGCGGAAATCTAGGTAAGTCAAGACTGAATGATACTCACAAAATGTATTTTATCAAGCTTAACACAATGTCAATTGATACTTGAGGGAAATTATTTTTCAAGATCTTTGCGAGTAAGAAAAGAATTATAGTCGTTAGCTATAATTGTCTTAGGTGCGGAATGGAACCGCTGCCAGGTTGGTAGTAAAAGTGCACTCACTTAAACTCCCTTCCAAGGTGAATACGTGAGTAACGTAAGCTAGTCCTTAGGATAACGCTTCAGCGCTAGTTTGATAAGACAAGACCCTTATCAAAAACAATTTATAGGAACTTTAGTCGAGATAGTTAAGACTATTACGATCTTTAACGTCCTAAGTAAATGAAATATGTAAAAGATGAAAAGGGAAAAAGGGATCTGATTTAAAACAGTAGCGTAATACGAAAAGAAAGCTAGAGAAGTCTAATTTCCTAAAGTATAACAGTAAGTTTCTAACAGATGTAAGAAAAAAGGTAAATGGGATGTTTGATCTTTAAACTTAGTAAGTTTGTAGGTTGATAAAAGTTTTATTCGGTAAAAAGATGAGAATCCTCCTTTGCTTCGAAAAGGAGCTTAATTCTTATAGATTTTTGTCTTTCTAGTGGAAGTAGATCATGACTCGTTCTTCAGGGTTCGAGTGGTTCTAGACTAGCTGGTTTAGTCCGAATTGTAACTTGGTTTTGTTTCAGGGTAATGTGGTTACCTCAACGGTTTGCCTAGGCAGGGTCTGTTAGTATCCAGACCCTTGGCTTAGTTTGTAATTGATCATAGTTAATGAAAGTGTTTTAGGATGATTTTAATTCGAGTATTCCTTAAGTCTTGTTTGACATTTCTTAAGTATTTAATTGATACACTCTTGATACTGAGTGATAGCGATGTTATTTTTAAAAATGTATATTTTTGGGTTTTTCTTTGTTAACGTCATAGAGGTTCTGCTCTGCAGAACCTCTTACCGTTGACAATCATTGTCTCAGTAAACTCAATGTACGTCGGCATTTAATATAATTAGTCAGAATTCCTACTTGGCATAAACCTGGACTTTATCCTTCGCCTTGCTAGGCTTGGTGGCGATGAAGTTATGTAGGGTAAACAAAGATACGCTTGGTGTTGGTCACTGAGACTGCAGCTTTCAGCCTGGCATATTTTCGAGCTGAACTCGGTCATAGGAATAATTAGCTTGGCAAGAAGCCGCGATTAAGTTAGTCCATGGTGAGCGAAAGTGCGCAGAAAGCCGCGCCCATATCACGATGGCCTGGTCTTCGAGTTCTCCAAGGAGAGAGTGGGGTAGTGTTTCCACTATAAATTGCCTTTGATTCGTGCACCAACACTTCTCACCATCCCATCCCATCCAAATTCATTCTACATATCCTTCAATTATATCATAGCCGTATATACATTTTGATCCGCGATCATCATATTTTGTAAACATATTTTCTCAAACAAAAAATTTACTTCGAGCTTTTTCATCTCAATTTTAGAAGCCTTTCCAGTACCAAAATGATGTCTTATACTACACCCCGTTTCATTGCTCTTGCTTGCATCATCACTATGTTATTCGGAGCGTATAATGGAATCCCATGCAGCCAAATCGAAAATACCGAAGGAAGACAAGGGATCCGTGAAGTTCCCTTGACCAATTCACCGTCAGGTCCATTAGATAGCCATAAGTTCACCCCTGTAAGTTCTCTGTTCTCATCTTATTTCACAAACAATAGAGCTGATTTCTCATAATTCTTTTCAAAATATTAGCTTCGAGACTCTAAGCCAGTACAAACAGGACTTGATCGTCGCCAGATGGGAGGAGCTCCAAAGAAATCACTAATGAAGACCCCAGATACATGATTATAATCTTGATCAATTGACATGGATCGAATTGGTTTTTGTAAAACGTTTCTTCATCATCTCTTCGATAGAATGTGTATTTGTAAATAAATGTAAATGACAAGACCAGAGCAATATCAACCATTTTCAGCATACATTTTTCTATTGTATAAGTGTGCTCAGTATGGTAAACCCATGTGAAATCATTTGCACTAGAATAATAACTAAAAATGGTCCACACGTGGTCGGGATGAATCCTTTGATGAGAACTTGTAAAGACAAAAAGCATAAGCAGGACGCGGCGAACGCGCTCACAGCTCAGAGAGGGAATTGTGAAGTTTGATAATCCACGTGAGTCGGAACAGAACTTAGAGGCCCGCGAGCTAAGTGCTGAAGGAGGTCAGATAACAGCGGAGGAAGACATCTTACCTTCAAGTAAACCCGGTGAGACTCAGAGCATTGATGATCAAACTCAGAGAGAGTCCGAGCACGATCTACTTCCCTCTCAGTCAAATGTAAGTAATCTTGTTGATCGAACCATCAATCAAGTGTTGCAGAGAAGTTGACGAAGTCTATGATGTTCTTGTCAAATTGACAGTCCAGACCATTAACAATTCATCTTGAAACAAGAGTGTGAGATGTGCCATTTACAAGCTACCCTGTACATCTTGTATAAGGGGTTCTCTTCATTGTTATATTATCGTTAATGTACTTGTGGGTCTGATAATGAAAGATCATCTAAAAACTCAAAACAATCTTCTGAACCCGCTGACTCACCCATGGCTGTTGAAAGTTTCAAGAATGATACAAGTTGCCCGTCAGAGGTCGATGTGGCTCCCATATGTTACTTACAGTCATTTTTACATTGTCCTTGCCACCGCAACAGCTCGCTCCTTACTTCGTACCCAAGATCCACCGTTGCAGGTGGCCTTGGATGATAATTTACGTACGCTTACGGAAATGATCTCAGACTCGCTGGCTTACGATGTCATTCTTCATATCCTGGATCTTAAAAGTCATGAGGATATGGAAACCGGTTGGAAGGAGCCTTTCACTCTTTGACATCTAACCATGTGCGATTCGGTGCAGTTTTAGCATGATTCATATCTCCCATTTTTCCTATCTTGCCACCACTGAACAGCTGCTGAGGCTTCTTATAATAATAAAAGGTTCAGCCTGGCACAAGACTGATGCCCATAGAAGATAAAGCCTCCGTCTTCACTGCCCCTAAAATTATGATCTGGCACATGCGGGGCTAATTCAGATGTCACTTGTTACATGTTATACACATATGCCTGTAGTCGGCGCTGCCATATTTACTCGCGAGCGCAGAAACAGTAGAAACTCTGCTTCTTCTCCGCGTTCCAACTCCTTGGTATGCTATACGACCTTTCCCAGTTCCCATCGACAGGATAAGAGACTGTAACACTTCTTCAAAACGAAACTTTTCTTGACATATGAGTTTTACATAGGGTTACATTCAGCGGTGAAATGTTTGGAGGCTGATGAAAGGTGCTAGAATAATATTTACATTGTTTTTTTTACAAATTAAATATAGTTATCAGCATTCAATCTCAAATCAAAAAGTGATGAATAGTCAGGTAACTTTTGTAATTGCACGTCCAGCAAAAGTTTGAGATCAAATATCATCAATCTCTGCGTGTGCGAAATACGAGCTCTTTTTTCGGCTCACTTGCTTGAAGATAAATGTTTCGACGAGTTCATACCAGTTTGAGGAGAGAGCGTTACGTGATTTCGACGAGTATAAAGAGGTCATTGATTTCACACCCAGGAAGATATCCTCAAGGCCTGAACTCGCTTGATCCCTTCCCTTTTGAACTCTTATCAGTCATTACTGCTATTTTACTACTGCCTAAAATTTTTAGTTAATCTACAGCTCTACATATATATATCAGTTCCAGCGACAAGAATTTTCTTTGGTGGGTATTTTTTTGCTTTTCACTATGATTCTTCTCTTTCTGCCTATCGCTCTACTATACATTGAGAGTCTTTCAATATATGAAATTTTCTTAAACCCCTGATATTCTTGTCCTGAGGATTTTCTCAGGACTATGATATACCCTATCTATCACTGCTGATCCAAAAAGATAATAGTGCCATATCAATCCCTCTATAGTCTATTTATCTTAGTAAACCTTTTGTGCCTTTCCTTTCTTTGATTCCTGATCTATCATATTGGTCGGAGGTCTTATAGATCATCCAGGTTGGGTGCTGACTTCATATCTATATATTTAACAGCCTCCCCAAAATGAGATTTCAACAGATCTTTGTTACCATCAATATGTTGATGGACCACACTACTTCTAGTCCTCTCATCCCTCAACTTGATATGTCCGCCTCCGCCAACCCAAGTAAAATAGCCAGCCAAGTAGCTTCTGGATCAAGCGGTGTGGTCTACCCAGCTACCACTCAACAATACAATCAAAAGCTGGAAGAGGCAGCCCAAGTTAAAGCAATGGCAGAGAAGACTTATGGTCCTCCATCATATCCCATCCATCGTGATAGGAAAATGCAACAATACGTTGATGGACCAGCAGGAACTACTCCAGAACAAATGAAGCAAATGTCAGACGCCGCTCAGAAAGACTTCATGAGCGATGACAACGGTAACATATTCCATGACTACGCATGGCCAATAAGTATGGCAGGAGTAGCTATTGCAGCATTAATAGGTGGCCTTGTATGGTTTACAAACTGCAGGGATAGTCATAAAGAATCTGCCGCAGAGAGAGCGTATGAGACCCCATCTTGAATTTATCCTCACAAATATCTTAACTAAAATTTGTTTCAATTTTCTTTTCAGGGCAACGGCAAGAGATATGGCAGTTGCGCGTGGTGGCAAGTAAACTGAGACACCCCAAGAAAATGAAGGATTTGTATCAAAAAAAGGGATATAACAACTTCCAAACCCCCAATCTTCTGCCACAAAACCTTATAAGATTGAATATCTTTGGTAACTAATTCTTTCTTAACCATTTTCATCTTGTTTTGAGATTCAAGATTTAGTTTTGTCCGCTTTGTCAGTTTGAATGTTTTTGGTAACTCACTCCTTCTGTACCAATTTCATCTTATTTTGTGGTTCAAAAGTTTCAATATATTCTGCTCTGTCAAACCTCTATAAGATTTGATGTTTTTTTGGTAATTCACTCCTTGTATACCGATTTCATCATATCTTGAAATCTCATCTTTCCATCACAATTCATGTTGTAAGCCCTTACTTGAATTAGCCACATATTCTCACAGCATACATCACCATATACAATAGTTCATCACATTGTATGGTGCAGTAGAGGGAAATGATTTTTGTAAGGAAACTCTTGTTGAAAAGTGTCCCCAAAGCTATAACAATCATAAAAGTTTGGGCTCCAGCACTGAACACCCCATACAACAAATTAAATTGTGGCCTAACAGTCTCCAGAGACCTTAAACCACAGAGGAGTCTAGAAACCAGTAGGCACCTTTTGAAAGTCACGGAGCCGCGACCTAAATCAAAATTACAGGACGTCTTATTTGGAAGGAAATCAGCATCCATGGTTTACATTGAGGTCTCAGTGAGTCGTGTACCACTCCTTCTGTACATATCCCTGTACTGTTATGATCCTCTGTCACAGATCACTAGAGTGTCACAACCCATGACAGGTACTCACCAGAACCGCACTTGTACCAGATTGCTGCTCACCTTGCTTTCTTCTCTATGCTACAATAATCATACAGACTTGACAGCACCCTTTCCTCCCTCTGTTCCCATGTGCAAGCCCCTGAAGTGGGCCGTAACATATTGTAGCATCTAACTCGTAAAAGACTAGAGGAAACAAGAAGCAAGGAAGAAGAAGAATTTTTTTTGAAGAAGCATAATTGTAGAAGTTTAAGCTTAGAAAAAACCCAACTAGAGAAAGAAGAACCCCACACAAACGCCTCCTACCACCACACTGTCCTTCCGACCCCCAACCGACGAACCTGATTATACCAATACACAGTGTCATTTTACTACTCACTGGCAGGCCAGTGAGTACGTCCAGCTCAGTGAGTACGTCCAGCTCAATCCAATCTCAATCTAATCTCAAATCCAAGTCAGTTCAATATTAATCCAATCTCAATGTTTGGCCTAGAGTAGCAGACAAACAACCTTCCAGAATGAACTGGAATAAAGTTTGGTTGCATGTCCACACATGAAGGTGTCAGAATTTCTGGAAGGTTCAAGTGATTATGCAGCCCATGCATATCCCCCACTCAAACATGATTGGAGGTCAAACTGATATTGAACTGACATTGATTTGAGATTGGATTGAGGTGAATGGAACTCACTGGCCTGCCAGTGACTAGTAAAATTACACTGTGAGTTAAAAAGAAACCCCTACGGCACACAGGCCTAGACTGGTTCCCTCAAGTTTTCAATACGTCACTTTGACTAAGTCAAAGTAACCAAGTAACAATCCCTACCTAAACCAGGGACCTTCTTTAAAACCAATCCAGACCCTGTAACAGTTTACCTAGATCAGGGTCAAACACAAATATAGACTACTTCACCTAAAACATATACATAGGTGAGTAATCCCCCACAAAGAAAGAAGATCCCATTGAATTATAAACTTACAAATCAGAACTCACTACTTTGTTATACTCCTTTCGATCCCATAGCTATTTGACTTTATCAAAATTACGTGACTTGTTAAAACATCTTAGATTAGACCTTTTTCTCAAGAATCCTGTATTAACTTAGTCATTTCATCGTTTCAATACTTTTTCCCTGAATCAATTATCCTTCTCATCTTTTTTCCATTTTACAAATTCTTCAAAGATTGTTCAACTAGGGTTATTCAACTGAAGATTCTTTCATACACCTCCCACTATTTTTTTGATTGAACTCAAAGTTCTATCACTACTGCTAAAGCACACCTAAATCAAGTTATGAATATGCTTGGAGTTTGAGAACAGGGATCTGATAACACCACAACTTGTATAAGCAACAATAGCGCAAATAGCAACTTGTCTAACAGAGACTTCTGACCTGATAACACCACAACTTGTATAAGCAACAATAGCACAAATAGCAACTTGTCTAACAGAGACTTCTGACCTGAAAGATGGTACAGAATTTCAAGTAGACAAAGTTAGCTGAAAGGTATCACTTTACTTGATACTGATCAATGGGACAATAGAGAACTGCTTTTTCTCTTTCCAAAGATATATGATTTATTCACCTGATAACACCACAACTCGTATAAGCAACAATAGCACAAATAGCAACTTGTCTAACAGAGACTTCCGACCTAAACAAATCAAGTCAAAGAAGTTAGATGAGACAGAATTGAAAACATAAGCTTTTAAATAAGAAGTACCTGAAAGACGGTACAGAATTTCGAGTAGACAAAGTTAGCTGAAAGGTATCACTTTATTTGATACTGATCAATGGGACAATATAGAACTGCTTTCTATCACGTTAATGAGTATGAGATAACAAAGTGTTCAATAAGCATTTGTAACGGAACAAAATAACAAGAGAATGAAATTTAGGAAAAATATGTACTTCTCTTTCCAAATACGGGGAAAGAGAAGTACAGTGAAACACGCTCAATCAGTATATAAGAAAAGCATGGTGTTACAAAAATTAATTGTTTGGAGTAATCTCAATGATCTTCACTTTTCTTGTCTAAAATTTGATTCTTGAAGTCAATCATCTGATATGTAACTATCTGATTCTCTGTAAGTCAATTGGAGAATTCAACAAAGTTTACTCCGGTAAACACTTTAGTAGACGAGTTGGTTGAAAGACTGGTACATACTCAATCTTTATTCATTTCCACAAAGACTTGAAATATACAATACTTCATTATAAAGAGTTAGTATCAACATTTTGTGAAAATATTTCATATAAATTTAACTTTCCTACTTATCCAATGATAGAAGTTAGCAAGAAGCTGACAACGCTGGTGTAAGAAGGAGAGCAGAAGAGGGAAGGTGGCGGAACTGGAGGCAAAGATTGCAGTGTTGGAGAGTGGAATGGGAGCAAGGGCAGGTACTTCATCAAACAACTCACCATCTGACCTGTCAAAAAATGGAGGAGCTTGAGAGTGACAGACGTGCCACCCCTGGGCCTGTGCAAGGAGTTAGTGGAAGGAGAATTAGATGCTATGAAATCAAATGCAAATAAATTTGATCCCCGTGTGTTTACATCTATCTCACTATCCCAAAACCCCAGTGCCACGTCCCCCAACCCAAACAGTACCATAGCCCATGCTCTGATCGACTGTGGTTCCACCCACGTTGTCCTAGGCAAGAAGTTTGCCAACTGTACCGGCTTGCCTGTATCCAACCTGATGACCACTGGTGAGGTGTATGGCTTTGATGGAGCCCGTCGCCCTGTTGTCCAAGACACCAAACTCTTCATTGACAACAATGAAAAAAGAACCAAGTTTTTAGTAACTCAAATCAAAGATTCATACCATGCCATTCTCGGCATGCCCTGGCTACGCAAGAACTGACACCGTATCAACTGGAAGAATGGTATATTGAAGCCAAAGAACTCACTGAATGATATTGCAGCCTTAGAACTGGCTTTGTCCAAGCCGCCAACCACCCTGGATTGTCTGTTGACTCGGAAAAGGAAAGCTAATGAAAGTGTCAAGGGGGCCATTAGTTTATCTAACACTAAGCCCCCACAATGTGAGTGCAGTGATCTTTTTTCAACACATACCAATGAGACACACCACCAACATATTTACCTCAGATTACAAAATCCGAGGTATCCTCGGATGCAAAACCTCTGACAGAAGCTTCCCAAGGTTTTGATCCGAGGTAATTATCAGGGCAAAAAAATACCTCGGGCAAAAACCTCAGACAAGGTTTGTCCGAGGATTTGCCTCCGATGATGCCTCGGATTTCTCAACCCAAGGCATCTATGCTGGCAGTGACACCCCACAAGCAGTCACATTTTCTATTTCAGAGCCCACTTACGTTGAAGACCAAAGACACTAAACCCAAGCACAATGAAGACCAACTGTCAGATACCAAAGTTACCAAAACCAAGCAAGATGAAACCCAACCACTGATTGCTGCTGAGCAAATAGCGTTGCCTAATCCGCAACCCACCCCAGATAGCCTTGAGGCCCAGAAGGGGCATACTAGGAACAATGGCAAGGGGCTCTCTTTGATGAAGAGATTAAGGCCCCGCGATGTGAGTATACAGTAACATTGAGAACCTTACACCCGATCCAGTTGACAAGCTTCAGAACCGTAATGACAGTGCTACCCCGTCCATATGTGCCGCAAGCACTTTGTGGAATGTATTGGCAAAATTGGCGGCAAACGACATCAAAGACCAACCAACCAAAACCGCTGAGGAGCTTGTACCTACACGCTACCATCACTTCATCAATATGTTCAAGAAGAGTAAAGCAATGACCCTGCCTCCTCACAGACGCTATGACTTCCGCGTCAACCTAGTCACCAGAGCGACCCCGCAAGCCATTAAAATCATGCCCTTGTCGCCAGCAGAAGAGAAGGCGCTTGATATAATGATTGACAAGGGGTTGGCCAAAGTCACGATCCGTCAAACAACATCCCCGTGGGCTGCGCCAGTATTATTCACCAGCAAAAAAGACGGCAATCTTTGCCCATGTTTTGACTACTGAAAGTTAAATGCATTAATGGTTAAAAACAAATATCCCCTGCCTCTTACCATGGAACTGATCAACAGCTTGATCGACACCAAGGACTACACTAGTTTGTACATGCGCAACGGCTACAATAACTTACGGGTAAAGGAGGGGGATGAGAAGAAACTAGCATTCATTTGCAAACATGGCCAATTCGAACCTCTTACAATGCCATTTGGACCTACAGGGGC